CTTTATCCCATGGAATAACTGGTGGGTTAGAATCATCAACGTGCTGGTTAGCGGTTGAGTGCTTAAGCACTGTGCCACCATTCTCTCCAATTCCTTCAATTTGTAGATGAGGACTGAATGTTAGTGACTTTACCATTGTTAAGTGCTGTCTAGCTGATTTTGACTCACAGTGACCATATAGGGTATGTGAGGAGCAACTGGTGAATCTGAACCACTGACCTTGCAGTTTAAATGGGCCTTGAGGTCCAATGCTTACCCTACAGCACCACAACAGGACTCTGACTTCGCCATCACATGGATACATTTTTATTAGAGGAAATATACATTGATGAGAAGGAATTCCTTTTAAATTCACAGTATAAGTGAACAGGAAAAGGTAAAAACATTCACTGTCCTCTCTGCCCAGGAGACAAGCTTACATGTTAATCAAGTTACTAAGTGGGGCCAATCCTCTCCACCTAGGAGTCAAATTAGAATGCTAATCAGGTTAAGGAGTGGGACCAATACTCTCTGTCCAGGAGTCAAGCTAGAATGTTAATCAGGTTATTGAGTGGGACCAATCCTCTCTGCCCAGAAGTCAAGTTAGAATGTTAATCAGGTTTCTGATTGGGATCAATCCTCTGGTTTCCCTCCTGTCTTCAAACAGGTCTGCACCCTCAACCCTCTCCAATTCTGACCCCATATAAGTCTACACTGCCCAATATTCAATGCACAAAATCTGGAGAAGCTAGCTCCTCTGAGCCAGCTGGCTTAATAATATCTGAAACTCTGCTTCACCTCTCTGAATGGCCTTGGTTTCTTCAATGGATCAAGAGCTGCTGTGACACTCTTGAATCTAAAACTGCTGTAACCTAAGTAGTTGCACAACAGAATACTTGTGGAAATGAATTACACGGCAGAGCTAGAGTTAAGTGCCAGGCTCTATCTTAAAAGGTTTACTGGGATATCTGGCAGAGATAACCCAGTTCATCCTAATCAACTAACACAACTCTTACTTGCTCCAGATCTGTAGTATTATAAACAGTTGAAAATTCATCACAAAAAATTGATGCTTGAATGAGGATGAACCTCAAGAAAGTTTTGAGAAAGCTAGCTTAGGAGCAATACTAGCCGCCTTCGTCCCTGTTAATGACTAGTCATAAGATAGAGGTTGGGGAACAGAAAAGTAAAGACAAGAAAGACAATTCATATCTTTAAAAAATCAATTCAAATGGCAGAAATGTGAAGAATTATTACTGTTTCCCCAATGGTACAACTTGAGCAAAATGTTCAGTTGTGTTCTTAATTGAATGATGTCTGTTTAACACTGATGATAGTCATGACTATACTAAAAATAAATGAATCTCCAAAGTCTTCTAACTTTAAGAAAAGGATACGGTGACATGTTTTACAACCAAAACCAGTATTTGTGGATTTCACATCATGTAATTAACAATTCTTTTGGTCTTTTTACTTGATGCTTTTTCATAAAGATGACTTGAGTTTTTCTTCTAAATTATATTAGTCTCATTTATGATGTATACACTCTGAAAATAAAGAATAAAACTCTGAAAGTCGAGTTTCATTACTCTACACAGTGTAGTTTTACTCCTCGTTCTGTGGCATATATTCTCTGTATTATCAGTGGTATGTTTTAGGATGCATTTTAGGACACTAGATAGTTCTTACAGTTGGAACAATGGTTAACCGCTGAATCAGAGCTTAAATTATAAGCACTTGGTTTGCAGAAGGCAACATTTTACATAGAAGCCTGGTGGCATAATGGGTTATGTGTCGGGCTACTAATTACAAGGTCAGCAGCCTGAATCCACCAATAGCTCTACAGGAGAAAGATGAGATTTTACAGCCTCAGAAGCACTGCACAGGGTAGCTATACGAGTCCATGTTGAGTCTGAACATAAATTCTGCATCTACTGAATTCTTTCTGACCACCAACCAATGATCAATGTAAAAAGCTTTGCCTTCAGGCAGAGTGTGTTTGAAAATGGATTACTAAGGCTCCTTTAGTCAGCCCAGGGAGAGGTAGTCTCCCTCTCAGGAATTTACCTAGGCATGTCCTTAATGGATGAGGGTACCAGAGATCATGAGTCATGCGCCAACGAAGATGATTGTTGCTGCTGTTAAGTTGAATTGCATAAGTTCTGACTCATAGTGATCCTGCATAGGGTTTCCAAGGAGCAGATGGTGGTTGGAGGGCCCCCAAACCAACCCTGTGTACTTTTCTAATCTGCAATAGTGTACCTATTCCAATCATGATCCCTTTCTTGTTCCAGTGGTTCCGCTTACAACAGTGATGCATTAATCTGCCTCCAATCACAATTTTCTGACACATACTTTTTGTTTTGCATCTTCTATAATTAACCATGTGGCTGTGAACCTTTTGGACATTATGGCCTCATGCTGATGGTCCCCCTCATCCAAATGATTTGTCTCTGTCTTGCTTAAGACTTAATAAAGCGTTCTCTATAAAATAAATTAAATTTTCAGGTATTCCCTTCCACCCCTGAATTGCACTCAACTGATAAGCAAATGATTCAAACCCACCCAGAGGCACTAGCTTAGTGGGAAAAGTAACTGCTCCCATAAAAAATTGTTGCTGTGGCTAAGTGTTGTGGAGTCAGTTCCAACTCACAGCAAGCCTGTATATGGCTTCCAAGGCGCAGCTGCTGAGTTTGAACTGCTGACCTTGCAGTTGCTGCTGACAATCCTATAAAACCCTGTGGGGCAGTTCTGCTCTGTTACATAGATAGATACAATGGCACTTCACAACAGTTAGCTCGTACTCTGTCCGTAGTTGTCAAGGTTTTCAGTAAAAGCACAGCCATAACGACTACTTCTAATGGATGATATGTGAAACAACTTTTTACCTAAATTTTATATTTTGTCTTCTTAAACTGTATCATTGTTAGGGGTTCAGCCACGTAACACACACACATACGCACTGAGCAAAACTGAGTATTCAAAGAACAGGAAGAGGATTTTAAGATTTGACATAATCTACCTGAATTATCGAGGCTATAAAGAAGCACTTAAAGGTGCTTAAGGTGACAAAGGAATCAAGGCTAGCATCGGTTTCAAATAGCAATTGTAAGAGAAGCTCCACAACAACATTGACAAGATGTCACTATGGGGGAATCTCGTGTCCAACAAAAAAGAGCCACAAACTTTCAAAACCAGAGTGAGAGGGACAGAAAAGAAGTAGAGAGGCTGAACATACAGAATGATAAAAACTGCTCTGAACACAACAGGATGAGCTTAGACGGTTTCTGTGAGACTTAAGAGAGAATTCTGGTCACTACACCACTACTGGAATATACTTTTGAACTGAAACAACAAATAAAATTCTGAATACATCACTAGGGAGTAAACATGCCCCTGATGCTGGTATTAATTTAACTGTGTTTGGAATACAGTGGGGTTTTCAGATTTGTCCTGTAAGACAATTTAAAGGTAGAAAGAAGGTGGCTAGTGGCTAAAGAGGCTTCATGACATAACAGAAAACACAAAAATTATGTTGACTAAAATGAATGATTTTTTTTTAAAGGAAGAATTCAGTAATAAGTCAGTGAAACGACGTTTCCCTACATACTATAGGTCGGTACCAGGTGTCAATGAAAATGCCTTCTACTTTACATTCCAGGGAACTCTCTCATCCAAACAGCACAAAATGTTTGTGTTTTCAATCTTGCATTTCTGAGAAAAAGTGGAGCAGGGAAGACAAGAGCAAGAAGTCTTTTATTGCCATATAAATCAAATAGTCAGCTGCCTTGGGTCTATTTCTGACATAGGTAGGGAAAGTAGCTATAGGTAAGTAGACACCAAAAAATGGAAATTACTTTTGGTTTCTGTAACACAAGGAATATCTTCTTTGCTTGAAAGTTTCAAATTCATAGTATCAACTAACTGATGAATGATATTGCTATGGGTTAAACTGTTTCTCTTAAAGATACTCTGGAGTCTTAACACTTGGTCCCTGTGCATGTGACTTCATTTGGAAACAGGGTCTTTGCAGATGACTTACTTAGGTTAACATGAAGTCAAACTGCAGTAGGGTGGGCCCTGTTGTTTGTTGTTAAGTGACTTTGCGTTGGTTCCGACTCAATAGCGAGCCTGTAGAGAGGTTCCGAGTAGTGATGGCTGAACTTGAACTGCCAACCTTGTGGTTCAAACTGAGCTTGTGGTGGAGTGCTTATCCTACAGCCTCCCACAGTGCGCACATATGGAGCCCTGAGGGCACAATGGTTATGTCCCCAGCTGGTAACTGAAAGCTAAGCGGTTTGAGTTCACTCAATGGTTCTGGTGTAGCACCATATGGTAAGTACTTGACCTCAAGGTCATTCTGAATCACAATTCAAACTCACCTATTCAGATTTCCACTCCTTGGAACCCCTATATAGGCTTATGGTTCAGACCGACTTGAGGGCACTTAACACCAACAACAATGGGTCTGCAGGAGCAAGACGTACAGAACAGCTCCTGAAGAAATTGCAACCTAGGAACCCCTATGGGGAAGTTCTACTGTCTATAGGGTTCCAAGAATTGGAATCAACTCTATAGCACACAAGAACAACATTATATAAAAAACAGAGGAAAAGAAACACACACAGACAGACTTACAGGGAAGAGAGTTATGTGACAATGGAGGCAGAAATAGGAATTAAGCTGCCATAAATCAAGGAATGCCAGGACTCCAGGTATCAGAAACAGCAAGGAAGAAGGAAGGAGTCCTTCCCCAGGGCCTTCAGAGGTGGTGTGTCCCTGCTGCCCCCTTGATGTCAGCCGTCTAACATCCAGAACTTTGAGAGAATGCATTTCTGTTGTTCTAAGCCACCCAGTCTGTGGTGATTTATTATCGCAGCCCTAGAAAATGAATGCAAGATTGTTGCTAGTATTTCCCCAGAGCTAATACCTATTTTGTAAAATTAATATCACAGAATAGTTTTGTGATATAAATAGCTACATGATAAAGTGAAAAAACAACAATGATTAAAACAACTTACTTTCTTCCTTCTTGCTAATAATGGCAGGCAGGGTGTAAATCTAAAAAAAGACAAAAGATGCCAATCAATTATTAGCAGTTAAGAACCCAGCATTACAGATACACAAAGCAATGTGATACACAAAGGAAAGGTCTTGCTTTCAAGGTCCAACAACTTCTGTTTACACAGCCCCTTCTTTCTACGCTGTCACCCAATCTCCTTCCCTGCAGTGATGCCAAGCTTGCCTCTAAGGCCTTTCTGTCCCTAGCTGCCCTGGACACAGTTCTAGCCCTTTCCCTATGATTTCTGCATCCCATCCTTGACTCTTGTACAATTTCTACAAGTGCACAGTGTTTTGACCTCAATGGGTGCAATCCTAACATGCTTGCCACATTGCCTTATACATATGCTCAAGAAATTAGGGCTTCTTAACTATTTGTGGTGAAGAGATAAGTTTATGTTTGTTTCTTCCTTTTTAAATCTGGCTTCTTTCTCTTTGTTTTCATTTTTAATATGCCACAGACTCACTTTTGCAAAGGAAAACAAAACTGAAATAGAAAAGATTATAAAGAAATTGAGAACAGATGTAAAGCCTACTTTCGTCTTAATATTAAATTCAACAGACTTAAAATGACTTTGCTAAATTGCTGTAAAAATTTCCAAAGGCTTAATCTCTATTTCTGTGTACATCTTATATGGACTGGTAACACAGTGAAAGAGAGGGCCAGTGGGCCAGGGGCTACACCCTCAAGCACAGGTTGTTTGTTTTGCGTTGTTCGCAATTTCTTCGCCAACCGAAGAAAGGCTTTCTTCTAGAGTAGTACAGACATCAATGGTTTAATCTTTTTGCACAAGACATGCTAATACTTGTAAGTATGTTATCATATCAATGTCAAAACGTCTGTTAGAGATGGTCAGGGCAATGGCATGCAAATCAGTTTTATTAAATAATTTTTTTTAAAAAAACCTGTTTAAACTAGAAGATCAGTTATTACTCTGAAACTTGTTCATCACTCTGTCTTGCTTAGTCTGAAGAGTAGGCACTCAAGTAAGTATTTATTGAATAATGTAATCTAATGTATGCAGCCAAACTGATGGTTACAAGTAATAAACAAAAATGGTGATCCCTGAGAAACACGGAAGCTTGTACCAATAAACCCACAACAGTAAAAGTCTCTACTCTTCTGATTTGCTACTTTAACAATAAACCCACAACAGTAAAAGTCTTTACTCTTCTGATTTGCTACTTTAACAATAAACCCACAACAGTAAAAGTCTTTACTCTTCTGATTTGCTACTTTAACAATAAACCCACAACAGTAAAAGTCTCTACTCTTCTGATTTGCTACTTTAACATTTCCACTACATTACAGACACTGAAAAAAAACAACAACTCATATATACTTTGCAATTATTAGGAGTAACAACAAAACTTAAACTACAGTCATATTCTTCTTACCGGTTCCTTCCCATCCATAGCTTCCAACCAAAGTTTCCTATTAGCTTCTGAGAAGGCCTGCAAAGTGATGATTCCATGCCTATTAAAAGCAAATATTTTACATATTCAATTTATTCCTGTGATGTCCGTAAGTTTTCACTATTTTTAAATTCTTAATCACTATAAATGCAAAATTTTAAAAGGGGAGAAGAGACAGATAAGGAAAAAGGAAAAAAAGGAGTTGAGAAAGAATGAAAAGAAATAATATTGGCCTAAATTACTGTTCATAGAAAACACTGGGATACACACACTAAAACTTTTTTTTTTTAACTAAAACATTTTAAACTCTAGTAATTGCAAGTGGTAAATCCATCACATGATTTATAAACAAGACTGTTTGAAGAAGGCTAGTTTGAAGCTATTTGTTCTGAAATGACCCAAAAGGAAGAAGTTATATTCACAGATTTCAAGAAATCCACAAAATGAAAAAAAAAAAAAGTTCACAAAATGAGAATGATTAAGTATGACTAGATTTTCCACCAGTTACTCCACAGGAGAGAGAGAAGGCTATCTGATCACTTAAAAGATTTATAGTCTTGGAAACCTTATGTTATGACTCAGAATCAACTTGATGGCAATTGGTTTGGGTTTATGGACATTATGGAAACTGTCACACCATAACTAATTAATTATTTAAAAAACACTAAACCCAAAGTTTTTATGCCATGATCAAAATACTAAAATTGATTCAGCTAAAAGCAAGTATTTCCTATACACCTATTCTGAAATAGTTAACTGAGAATGCAGTTCAAAAGAAAGTAAAAAGCAATGAAGAAAGTAGGGGTTGGGTGGGTGGGAAAATCTAAGAAAGTTAGAGATATGCAATCTTAGAAATAGGGAAATTAGTGAATTAGTTAGCCTAGAAAATGAATCTCAACAGGTATCTACAGGGTTCCATGAAGAGACACATTAGAAAAATGTATATAATTCATTATATAAACTATAAGATTAAAATCCCAGAAAAACAACAACAAAAAAACCCCACACACATACATCTCTTCCAGAAACAAAAAACAAGTCATTAGAATGATAGGAAAAGGAAAAATGTATAAAGATCAAGACAAGTAAGTGTACCACCATCTCTTTTATCTACTATTTTAATGCTGATTTTTAATATCAATAATAAAATTAACAATGGCAATCAATACTTGTTGGCTATTTAGCATGTGCCAACTAGCATGAATTTTAAGTATAAGGCTGTTGGAAGGCTAGTTTTAAACTATTTAATCTGGAAGGATTCCTGGTGTGGTTCTGTAACATCAGCACTGAACTTCAAACCACAAAGTCTCTAGTTCAAACCCACTATCTGCTCCTCAGAAACCCTACAATGGGTCACTATGAGTTTGAACCAATTCGACAGCACTTAATAACAGCAACTATCCCGTTTTTGTTTGAAGAAAGATAGTTTAAAACTTTTTATTCTGAAATGACTAGAAAAGAAGAAGCAGCTACATTTATAAAGTTGAGTGAATTGCTTCTATGAGCAAATTATATCACTGAATTTTGACAATAAACCTTGTAGGTTACAGATAGGACAACGGAAGCACAGATTTTACCAATGTGTCCCAAATTTAGATAACAATAAAGTGTTGGAATAAGATAAGAAAAAGCACCAACATGTTATTATTTGTTGCCAAGGAAATATTAGTTTTTATCACAAAATTATGAAAGCTAATAAAATAGTTCAGCAAGTATGCTGAACAGTATTATCATATCAAAAAAAGTCAATAGGATTTATATCAACAACAATCAAATAATTGTATAGTTAAAAGGATGTTATCCAAAATTGTAATGAAAAGAAGGTACTTAGCAAAAATGTAGTAATAGTAACATATATATGTAAAATCTTTAAGGAGAGGTCAGGTCTCCACCAATTAGTTCATAACTTTAATGCAACTCCCATAAAAAATTCCAAAGGACTAGTTTGGGGAAGGCCGGGGGGAGATGGAAAAGGAGATAAGCTGATCCTAAAATCAGTAAGAATATAGAGCCTAAATAGCCAAAAGAATTTTGAAGAAGTGTATGAAGTGGGGTTTTGTCCTGCTAGAAATGAAAAGTTATAAAAACATATACAGTATATAGATAATATACTCATATAGTATGTGATAAGAATACACACATATATACAAATTAAACTAGACCATTCAGAAGAGGATGATAGAAATGTGAGGTAGGGAGAATAGATCAAGAAGCATACCTCCTCTTACCTTGCTTTTATTCTGCTTGTGTTGATGCCCTAAGGCTGTAGGCCTAAATATGCCCATTAGATTATAAACTCAAATACAAAATATTTTTGCTCTCCCAACATCCTGTAGCTAAGAAGAATACTCAGAATAGTGGTTTGCACACAGTAGGACTCCTTGGTTGAAGCTGGTTGAAGTAGGACTCCTTGGTTGAAGTAGGACTCCTTGAAGCTCAGCTGGTTGAAGGACGCTTGTGGTGCCCCCATCTGTGTCTTACTGTTAAGCGTGTGGTTTCCCATTTATGTCATATTATTCCTAAATCCTGGCGTGGTGCCACAGGTTAATGTGCTGGACTGCAAGGTTGGTTTGAACCTCAAGATGGACGGTTCCTGATCACCAGCTGCTCCTTGAAAACCCTATGCTGGGTCACTATGAGTCAGAACAGACTCAACAGCACTTACCAACAATTCATAAGAAGCAAAGCCACCTAGCTCCAAATGCCTATAAGGGAGTCGACCCTATGAAACATGCTATAAGTTCACTGTGACTGTGACAGAGATCTCAAAAGTCCACTGCATGCACTTTCCCATAACACAGCCATTTATATAGATTCTAGACTCTTCTTTGAGTAATGTCTATTGACTTTTTCTTGGCATTCTGTGTCTGATTTGTTTTTTGAAAGTATCCTGCATTAATTAATATTTGCTGAAGAAATACGCAAACGAATGATTTGAACATGCATACTATTTTAGAAGACAAAGGAAGATCGGTAAGCACTTTTACACTGTTTCATATTTATAACAGAGAGAGAAAGAGAAAAAGTTTATTTTATTTTAAAAACCATAGTAAAAAAAAAAAAAAAAAAAAGCTCAAACCTTTCAACTACTTCTATGTCAAAGCAGAATCGCTTATCAATGGAATCTGTCTTTCGTCGGATACAAGATTTCAATTTAAACATTTCTGGTGAGCTAGTAACAAGGCCATTCTGAAATAAGAAAGGCACACATTATTAGCATTATGAGAATTAATTTAAAATATTTTAAATCTACTATCTAAGTTGCTGTGTTAACTCAGAGCATAAGTTATGGATTAATTTCGCAATCATACTCTAATATACTATAAATATAAGGATTTATTTCCTAATGTTAGGTGGCCAATTATTAAACTATTTATACATAATGACACATATTTAATTTTTTAAAAAGTTTTATGACAAGTCTGTTTCGTATCCTGCTAAATACTTACAAAGGAGCTCTAGTAACGTAGTGGTTACGATTTGCTAATCTCATGGTCAGCAGTTCAAAATCACCAGCTGTTCCATGGGAGAAAGATGAAGCTTTTTGCTCCCGTAAAGATGTACAGCCTCGGAAACCCTGTGCAGGGTCACTATTGTGCAGGGTCACTATTATTAGTCAGAACTGACTCCATGGCACATAATCACCACCACCAAATACTTACAATGTTAAATTGTGTCATAATGTACATATAGTCTCTGAGGAAAACCCTGGCTAATTCTTTTACGTCTGAACGTCACTGAAATGTGAGCCACATTTTCGACCTCATTACAATGATTGCAATCTTCTCCAAGTACCATCAGTTAGCAGTATTACCTTGATTTACTTTAACTTATATCCTCTCTGTGTCTTGCACTACCCTCATCTTTCCTCTGCCAACATCTCTCTTGTTGTATATTGCTTTGTGAAATCTTACAGCTCTATATTGTCATATTTGATACATAGAATGCTTATACATATATGCATATTTGTGTGTGTATATATCTAGAGAGAGAGAGATGCAACACTTGTTATGAATTCTTGCTGTTGCTGAGTGCCGATGAGCAGGTTCCAACTCATAGTGACCCTTTACAGGGTTTCCAAGGAGTTGCTGGTGAGTAACTTGAGGTTACTAATCCAGTGCTTATACTACAGAGCCACACCAGTACTATATGAATTATAGTTCCCTAAATTGCTAAGAGCAGTGGTGTGGCACTGTAGGAAAAGCACTGGACTGGTAAACTTAAGGTCAGCAGTTCAAACCTACCAGCTACACTGGAAAAACCTACATAGGGCCGCTATGAGTTGGAATCGACCAACTCATAGCACAACATATTGCATGTCCATATATGATAAGCCTTGCATTAAAGCCTGGCTTAAAGTTTCAAATGACTTACTTACTAGTATAATAAAGTTCTAATATATGTTCTATATACTGCTAGTCCATGCCATGTAATTGCTTTGCTGGTAACTGCTACGTAATACTAAAACTAAAACTCTTTGTATTCTTTGGATCTAGCATAGATTCAATTTAAAGGAATTTCCTTCTATACTTAAAAGATGCCAGTAGACTCTAAAGAAAACAAGTATCCAATGGAAATACCTGTTTAATTCTATTTTTGCTGCAAACCTTATAAATTTATTTACAGCACTTTGGCATGGCCTACTTGTATTACTCTTACTCTGGTAGCGTAGTGGTTACGAATCGGGCTGCGAACCGCAAGGTCAGCAGTTCGAAACTGCCAGCCGCTCCGAGGGAGAAAGATGAGGCTTTCTGCTCCCGTAAAGATTTACAGCCTCGGAAACCCTGTATAGGGTCGCTATGGGTTGGAACCAACTCGACGGCACTCAACAACAACAACAACTTGTATTATTGGAGTCCTGGTGTGGCACTGCAGCATAATGCACTGGGCCCCAGGTCAGTTTGAACCTCTAGCTCGGTGTTTCAAATCCACCAGCTACTCCTCAGAAACCCTAGACAGGGTCGCTATGAATTGGACTGACTCGATGGCACTTAACAACAACAACTTGTATTATTAGCTTACCAACTGTCACGAAGGCAGACTTTTTGGCAATATTTATGAAACCCAGAGAGTATAAACTAGAATCCTTTGTAGCACTTAATAACTTAAGATGGTAACAAGCTCAGGTTTCTTTTTCCTCTGGTATGTTCTATTTATTTTATGTCTCTCCACTTGAATTATTAGAGTCTAATGAATACCCAAGCACAATAAGTTTCTGCTGATGTATTTGAGTGTGTGTCTAAGTTAGCAGTCATCTCTCCAATGATCTGGGCCACAAATAAGTTAGGTGAGTCAATGGTTCTTCAATCACTTATCTGTTAAAAGAAGGCTGGGCTAAATAATGTAGGAAAACTCCCAGTTCTAAGGTTCTTGTATAATGGTTCTTAGGTGATTAATTATCTAATTCACAAGCTTGATCATTGGTCACACTTATATCTTAACTCATGAAAAAGGTGATATTCCTACATGCAGCAGAGGTGTTGCTCTCTGCAGCACTTCCTCATACAAAGTACACTGTGTTCTATTCTGTTCACTAGCCATGCGAGATTAGTGAGCAATTTACATTTGGAATAAATGAGCACTGATTGGTTTCTTCTGGGAAACTATGTTGACCAGCATTTCAGTAAACAGTACTTAGCCCTGCAAAGGAGGAAGAGACTTTCAGGGGCAAATACAACCTCTCACAGAGGCTATTTGAGAAAAAGACTTGAATCCTTGAGTCAGGTCCAACCATGACAGCCCCTTCCTATCTGATGGCCACCCAACAAGTATGAGATAAACCCATTCAGAATGTGAGTTGACTCTCCAGTAGTCCATGAAGGAGTGGTGATCCCTAAGTTTAATCAAATGCTTACACATATATTTCAGGACAACATTAAAGAAAAACCCTGGCTAACTCTTTTTAAGTCATGAAGGTCACTGAAATGTGAACCACATTCTCGACTTCTGGATTTTTAAAAATTGTGGACCTGTTATTATAAAGGCAAGCAGATGTGATTTTATTGTTTGTTTGTTCTGTTTTACTTCCTTTACTTAAATAACAAACTCAGTTCTTCAAAAAAATAAAAAATAAACCAACTCACCATTTTCCCACTGGATTTCATTTCTGAAACACTCATTGTAAATGTTTTACTTCCCTTGTCATATGTACAATAATGTTTAATCCAGGTAAAACCAAGTGGTCCTAAAGTAAAGAAAGACACACACACACAAATTCAGATTTTATGAGTAAGTGATTTACATCTAAGTCTGCACACTTTCCTAGGCTATGATAATTAATTGAGTGTCTCCAACTACCATGGAAATTTGGAACATTTGCTGTGTGTGAGAAAGGACAACATGGAAGGAAGAATGAACAGAACGTCTTGTAATAAGAAACTTGCAGCTCTCATACTTACACAGTGAACTTAAGAGAAATTGCTATATATATGAGCTTCAAGCAGCTAATCTGTGAAAGTGGTATACTTATACCCAGGCAAGGTAGGAAGACTGAGAAATAATATATGTAAAATGCCTAGACATCTTCTTTCAGAGCAAAGCCATTTCCTTAAGTGGCAGTCCCATTGTTCCAGGAACTCAGGCCTGAAAACTTAAGAGTCTACTTTGACTCTAACTTTCTCTCACACCCCAAAACTGATCCATCACCAAATCCTATTGTGTCTACAGTTAAAAAAGTGCCAAAATTCAACCACTTTTCACTGAACTGTGACCATCCTGGGCTAAGTCATACATGACTCTTGTCTGAGCTATTCTAATTAGTCTCCCTACTTCTACTCTTTCCCCCTATTCTCAACATTGCCAGAAGTATCCTGCTAAAAATGCAGTCAACTCATTTGACTCCTTTGTTCAAAATCCTCCAGTGACTTCCAACCTCACTCTGGGTAGAAACCAGCTCATAATAATCAACAAGGCTCTACATGATCAGGTGCCTCATAATTTTCCTCACCTCTATTGATTCCAACCTTATTCTCTACAGACTAGCCACACGGGGCCCCTTGATGATCCTTGAACCTATGGAATGCATTCCTACCTCAGGGCATTTATACTTGCTTTTCCCTCAGTTGGATTCTTTCTGCATGACTCGTGTTTTCACCTACTTTGTGTCTTTTCTCAAATGCCACTTTTATTGAAAGGGCCTTTCTTAAGACACATATGTATATAACACATTTCAACATCTCTCTTCTTGATACTTCTTATCTACCTTTCCTGCTTTATCAAGAGATATGATGAGTTTTTACTAATTTAATCTATTTTGTCTGTCTGAGGAGCCCTGGTAACACAGTGGTTAAGAGCTGGGCTACTAACTGAAAAGATCAGCAGTTGAAACCTACCAGCTGTTCTGCAGGAGAAAGATGTGGCAATCTGCTGCCATAAAGATTTAGTTTTGGAAATGCTCTGTGGCAGTTCTGTTCTGTCCTATAGGGGGCACTATGAGTTGGAATCAACTGGATGGCAATAGGTTTTTGATATTGTCTGTCTTCACCACTAGACTCAAGGCTCCAGGAGAGCAGGATGGTGAGATGTGTTGCCAACCGGTATATTCTCAATCCTTAGAACAGGACCTGACATATACTTGGCACTCATTTTGTTCTAAGAATTTACCAGTCTTGAAATGATTTCCTCTTAATACTGAGCTCAAAACAAAAACAAAATATTCCTTAAATTGAAAATACTTTCCTCTATTTGCATTTTAAAGAAATTTGAACATGTGCAATGTTCACTTTCTCTTTTTGCCCATAAATACTGTGCAACTCTTTCCCACAGTCCATCACATTATTGTCCATCATTATGGCACTGCAGGATAAGCACTGGACTTCTAATAGCAAAGTCAGTGGTTCAAACCCACCAGTTGCTTCTCAGAAACTGTATACAGGGGTCACTGAGTCAGAATTGACTTGACAGCACATGAAAACAACATTCTCCCAAAGAGAATGCAACCACACCATGGTGCAGCATTCTTAGGTCAATTTTTCGATGTCCAAGAAAAGAAATCTTACTTTTCCCATGTTGTTGTTAAGTGCCGTCACGTCGATTCCGACCCATAGTGACCCTGTATAGGATTCCAAGGAGCAGCTAGTGAGTTGGAACTGCCGACCTTGCAGTTCAAATGACTTTGCAGTCTGACACATTAACCCACAGATATCTTGTATTGTGATGTGGGGTGGACAATGGAGCTGGTTTTCTATACTGCTTCTCCATCTAGGGTTCAAACCTGCTTAATACCTGGATTATTTGAGCAACTATGCAAGTGTTATTCCTGATTAGATTTCAGAAGGATATGTTTCAAAGCAATGATGAACTGAGATTAAAAAAAAAGAAAATGTACCACTAGGGAATAAATACTTGATTTTTTCACCCTTTAGTATCAGTGTCCTTGGTGTCACATTTAAGTATTAAACTTGAAACAACTCAGATTTTAAAATTACAGGATGCAGCAATATACTTTGCAATCAATAAAGGATTACTGCAATTAAATTAAACTCAGTTTGGGGACCATTTCTAACAGTACTTGTTGATAATTGTTATATGTAGAATAAAATACTTAAAGGCTTACAGCTGATTAAAATGGCTCTATGGAATGCCTCATAGAGACTTTGGTACTTGGGAAATGATTTATGAAGCAATATTAGCTATGATTCCTCCCTCCCCCAAAGCTGCAGCAATGCTCTTTAGAGGGCATTTTAGACCTAAAATAATTTTTTCCTACCTCCATGCTAGACTCAGAAACTGATGCATTTAATCTTCAAGTTTATAGCACATCACTGAAATGTACATGCAAAACCAGTTGAACTGGTATGTGTTTTACCATTATATTCTCACCAACAACCGCAAAAATCACAATGAGAAACCACTTCATTCCCACAAGAATGGCTAAAACAAAAAAGACTGACAACATCAAATGTTGGTGAGAAGGTGGAGAGTAAAATTATAAAACTGTCATGGGAAAAGAAAAAAGATTTGCTGCAGACACATGATATCTTCTTTATAGTTGTCTGACAGGATGCAGATGTTTTTAACAATCAATTCTGAATTCCCTAAAAAAGTCTAGAAAATACAAATTTATTATAACTTTCAAGTTGCAAAGTAAAAGTGCTTTAATTATATTCCCCAGTAATCATCTGAGGTTTCTGAGATAACATGTGAGGTATAGAAAGAACTAACATTTACTGAGCACTAGTAAGTGTGGACATTTTATCTATGAGCCTCTTAAGTCAAACATCATAAATGTGCATTTTACATATGTGAGCACGGCAGATGGCGCTACTCTCATCAACAGGGCTTGTGACTGGAAATGTGTTTCAGAGGAATGATATTCTCCAAGTGGCTTTTAAGAATTAAACAAGACTTAATCACAAAGAGAAATGATGCTGTAATACACACTATGACATGGGAAAACCTTGAAACATTATGCTAAATGAAATAAGTCAAACACAAAAAAATGTATGACCCCACTTGTGTTGAACATCTAGAATAGATAAACAAATGCATAGAGGCACAATTAATAGTAGTTACCAAGGACTGATTGCTAGGAGTCACAGCTGACTCAAGGCACTGGGTTTGGTTAGGTGGTTTTACTAGGGATTGGGGATAGATGGGAAATTACTGCTTTGGGGTACTGAGTTTCTGTTTGGGGTAATTAAAAAAAATCTTTTGGAAATAGAAGTGGTGTTAATGGGCAAACATGGTGAAGGTAGTGTCACTGAATTGTATAAATAATAATGGATTAAGTGACATTTTTTGGTGTTATTTTACTACAATAATTGTTTTTTAAAGGAATTGAATGAGATCACTACAAAGAACACAGTATAGTGAGAGCCACATGGCAAGCATGTTGTTGTTAAGCGCCATTGAGTCGGTTCCGACTTGAAGTGACCCTATGTAGGATGGCCACAGAGCAGCTGGTAGGTTTGAACCACCAACCTTGTGGCTAACAGTCCAGTGCTTATTAAACAGTGTCACCAACACTAATTATATAGACATTTCAAATACATTAGTTCTAGTTCTTGCAATAGCATTATAAGACAGATATAAAGGTTTAGCATTCCAGTGCAGTTTTGTTTGATGCTGGAATTCACTTTCTTCTCAATTAAACTGAAGTTTTTAGAAAGCTCCTGAATGCATGTCCAGAGGTGAGTAATATAAACTCCACATATCTGAATAAAGTACAGCTGTATGTCCAACATACAACCACCAGCTACTATACCATCACATCCCTCTTCATTTATCAATGAATTTCCAACTCTGGTATTTAGTATCGATCACACACTGCTAATTGTGCGAGCTTGTGTTGTGCATGGAATTATGAAGTAAATATTCGAAAATCATATTCTTCATTTCAATTCTACCAAGCAAGAATGTTATCACTTACTCATTCAGTGGTTCCAATTGTACAATGTTTCTTAGTGAATTGATTAATTTGATTTTCTTATTATGAATGCTTCTAAAGGTTTCAAGTTGAAAGAGGTTTTGAGAATCTGTAAACCTGAAGCAAATACTTCCAGAAACATATATATGTATTCATGTTTATTTTTAAATAACTAGTCAAGAGAACTACTATGGTAGTGTAGTGGTTACGAATCGGGCTGCGAGCCACAAGGTCAGCTGTTCGAAACTACCAGCTGTTCCGTGGGAGAAAGATGAGGCTTTCTGCTCCCATAAAGATATATAGCCTTGGAAACCCTGTACAGGGTCACTATGAGTTGGAATTGACTCCACGGCACACATCAACATCAACAACAACAACAGTCAAGAGGAAGGAGAAGTATGAAGAGTGGGGAAGAACAGAGGGAGGAACTAATTATAATGGGGCACAAGAAAATATTTTAAAGCAATTAATATGCTGGCTGTGATGATAGTTTCATGGGTGTGCACATGAAGCACAACTTACCAAAATATACATTCCTTTAACATGTGCCACTTATTCTACATCAAGGAGAGTTAATGATGTACAATGTATCTTAGTGAATTGATTAATTTGATTTTCTTATTATGAATGCTAGAGAGATCCTAGACAGTCTATTTCGGCAAATGGCTTTATGGTCAGTTCAGACTGACTCAGTAAAGAAGTATCTTAGAACAAAAGACACTAACAATAGGTAACTGAATAAAACACTGCACTTAATGTACACATGCAGGTCCCAAGTTATTACAGGGTATGATTCAAGGGTTTGCTTATACACTGATAGCCCTAAATGTCCAACAGCATGGAATGGGCAAGCATACCATGGCACCAAACAATGGACAGGTTATCAAATAATTCAAGACTGTGTAGAAAAAATTTTGGTAAATAAACTAATGCTTTTTTGTTTACAATAAAATATTCTCCAGACACAACTTTCAGCAACTGCATCTCATTTGAAACAGAATTCAGAAAATATAATGAGGTTCCAATGAATAAAAAAATCTACCATCTCCTCTATGCTTGTTTGAACAGCCCTCACTCAGAAAATTCAGTAAAGTCACATCCTTTACTGATGCGAAATGTGAGCTCTTCTCAATGTGCCACACCACTCTCAAAACTTAAACTACTAAAAATTTGTTTAGAGCCTTAAGTCAAATCCATATACACCATATATAACCAACAACTAGGCCATTTTTCATAAAATGTGTGTAGAAGCTAATTATTTCAGTCTGGTTCTTCGGTAATTGGGCAGGGCATTCAACTTATTGTTTCAAGATCTGAACAGAAGAGGCTGGCAAGGCATGGCACAGAAAATTGTGGAACCGGATCTCCTGGACCAGAGTTCGTTTACTGTGTTGTCTATGTTATAACACATATTGTTGAGTTTGTCGGATCAAATCTTTATTTGCTGGAGACTACTGTGTGCTGAGTCCTGGTGTGGTGCTGTGGGTTAATGCACCAGACTGCAAAGTCGTTTGAATCGCAAGGTCGGCGGTTCAAGCTCACTAGTCACTCCTTGGAAACCCTATACAGGGTCGCTATGGGTCGGAATCGACTCGATGACGCTTAACAACAACAACAACAACTGATTTCCTGGTATAGCGCTGTAGGATAAGCAGTGGACTGAAAGGTTGGTTGGACCACAGGTGGGTGGTTCAAGCTCACCAGCTCTTCCTCAGAAACCCTATACAGGGTCACTTTTCATCAGAATTGACTCAGTGCATTTAACAACAACCATCTATCAAAGAAGGTAGGCTATATGAAGAATAATGTGACATCAGAATTGGAGGAAGGCACATTATCAACCTCCATTATGCAAATGACACAACCTTGCTTGCAGAAAGTGAACAGGACTTGAAGCACTTGCTGCTGAAGATAAATATATATATACAACCTTCAGTAAGAATTATAATTTAATGTAAAGAAAATAAAAACTTCACATCTGAACCAATAAACAACATCAAGATAAACAGAATGAAGTTGGCAAGCATTTCATTTTACTTGGATCCACAATCAATGCTCATGAAAGCAGCAGCCAAGAAATCAAATGATGCCTTGCATTGGGCAAATCTGCTGTGAAAGGCCTCTTTAAAGTGTTAAAGAGCACAGATGTCACTTTGAGGACTAAGGTGCAACTGACCCAAGCCCTGGTGTTTTCAATCGCCTCACATGCATGTGACAGCTGGACAATGAATAAGGAAGACTGGAGAATCATCAATGCATTTAAATTATGGTATTGGAGAAGCATATTGAAAATGCCAGGAACTGACAGAAGTACAATCAGAATGCTCCTTAAAATCAAGATTTCATCTTACATACTTTAGACATGTTATCTGGAGGGACCAGTCTCTGTAAAAAGACATCATGCTTGGTAGAGTAGAGGGTCAGCAAAAAAGAAGAAGACACCTAGTGAGCTGGACTGATACAGCAATGGAAGTAAACACAATAATTATGACAGGACTGGACAGCGTTTCATAATGTTGCTCATAGGTCACCTTGGATCACAGCTGACTCAATGACACCTAATAACACCATCCATCAATTCAGTATTACTTGAGCATGCCAAATGTAATGAAATGAGTTGATGTGCTCTTAACCATGGTGCATGAATGCCAAAAGCTTTTCATAAACAATCCAATACCTTCAACTTCCCCTTTCAAAATCTTTTAACTAAAGTATCTTACCAACCAAGGAGCCCTGGTAGCGTGGTGGGTTACATTTTGGACTGCTAACCAGGAGGTCAGCAGTTTGAGTCCACCAGGTGTTCTGTGGGAGTAAAATGAGACTTTGTGCTCCCTTAAAGATTCACAGCCTTGGAAACCCTATACAGAATCTCTGTGTATTGGAACTGACTTGATGGCATAAAGCCAGTCATCTTACCAAACAAAACAACTTCATTATTCTATTTTCTACTAACATGGAGACCTTAGGAACAGTGCTACTGTATGTGGTTCTGCATGAACGTGTTGAAACACCTTAATGACAATTTGATATTATTGCAAAATCCACTTTGATGATTTTACAGTCTTACAGGTCTACCAATGGACTGGGAATGCAGGGACTCCACATGATAAGCACTGGACTGTTATCCACAAGTTCTGCAGTTTGAGCCCGCCAGCCACTCTGCTGGGAGAAAGATGAGGCTTCCTGCTCCAATGAAGATTTATAGCCTCGACAGTACACAACAACAACAATAACAACAACTGATGGACTAGAAATAAAAACAAGTGTTTCCTCAGCAGACCACCACAGAAACACTGTGTTAAAGCATACCTGGGTTGATACAGAGAACTAAGAACAGTCAAACTGGTTTTGCTTGGTAACAAGTAACATGCAGAAAGGACCCTAGTTACATAAATGTTTGAATGCCCCTTTATTAATTTTTGTGAGGAAAAACTTTTTGAGTCTCAGGCAATTATAAATTATTGCTTGATTTGATCGGATCCTTATTTCCTAACCTCAGGAAGTAAGGAGTGCCAATTTGATATTACATAATTGCCAATTTTACTCCTGAAAACTGATGGAGCTTAGAATTAAATGAAAGAATGTTGCTGGAAGAAAAGAAAATGGAAAAAAAACCCACTATTATGATAGCTGCTACGATAATTCATCTGATATAGGAGTTGATTTTCAATGTTCCCTGGCTCTTTAAATGAAGACTAGGCGTCACGATTAAAGTGTAAAACTGAACCCATGTTACTTTATCATCAGTGAAGGCTGTAGGTTCCAACTTCAATCATTTAACAGCTGAAGTGGTCCTGGTGTCAAAAAGCACAAAAACTTCCTCCTTTTGTTGCTGGTGTGGGAAAGCAGACTTATTATAATAAAGTAATGTAGAATTTCAGAAGCCCTGATGGTGCTCATTCAATGAGGTTGAGTGCTTGGTCACCAACTAAAAAAAAGCCCTCTCTGTGGGAGACAGATGTGGCCATCGGCTTCCGTACAGATTTACGTCCTTGGAAACCCTATGGGGCAGTTCTCCTCTGCCACATAGGGTCACTATGAGTTGGAAACACTCAATGGCATAGCTTTATTTGGGGGGGAGGGGAGTTGGCTACAAGGAATTTCAGTTTCCCTATTTGAAGGAGCTCTGGTAGCGTAGTGGTTACGAATCGGGCTGCAAACCTTAAGGTCAGCGGTTCGAAACTACCAGCTGCTCCATGGGAGAAAGATGAGGCTTTCTACTCCCGTAAAGATTTACACCCTCGGAAACCCTATACAGGGTCGCTATGGGTCGGAACCGATTCGATGGCACATAACAACAACAACAATGTTCAACTCACATCTCACAGAAGCAGTGCTAAATCATAGAGACATCATGTCATGTCTTCTTGACTCACGTTTTTCTTGGACATACAGATAGCCTTCCATCGTCCACTGGCTGGGTGGTCTGTAATCCTGGTTGGCAGATTTCATTCTTTGCATTAATCGTTCTACCTCTTGACGTGTACTTTCAAAATTATTTCTTGTCTTAAGTAAATAGAAACAATAATTTCATTTATTATTTGATATAGCTGTGAGGAACTTGCAATTTAAAGTCTCAGAACTGTGAATGGTGTAAAGAGGAAGCTTGATTTTTTAGGCACTATATTACCAAATCTAAGATGATACAATGCTGAATCCCATGGTCTGATTTTTCAGCACTTTAGTGAAAGTCTCTCTGAATGATCTACATGTCTCTGAAGCACGTGTGTGTGTAAATTTGTGTGTGACACTTTCTTCCAATTCCCCACTGTAACATCATTACTTACAGAGGAGACTATAATATTTTAAAATAGTATAATACTTACTAAATAATATTTGTATTCCCTAAGGATTTACCTTGAGTTTGTGAATTTTTTTCCTAGTGTAGAAGCAAACTAAGGTTAAAAAAAAAAAAAAATACATAGGAACTTATATTTTTTTGAAGAGGGGGAAAACAACAACAACAACAAACAAAACTAAGGTCATATACTTTTGAAAATATTTGGCACTAAAGAAACCACAGATACCAAAGAGGAAAAAAGTTTCCTACATCTGTCCAAACACCTTTTTAAAGATGCATAATCTAACTTGGTTTTCAGAAATCTTAACATACTTATTAGTAGGTCAATCTATAAATCAACTCATAAAAATGAGTACTTTCTCAACATCTATCATCTTTTGTTCCAGGAGATAGCTTACTCACTTGACAACATAATTAGGTAAGCCACAGGTAGCAGCAGGCTTCTCTGAATGCAACAAACGGAAACCTTTGTTTCATTGCCACCGAACTCTAAGATCATTTATACCCTACAGTAGGCCAAGAAAGTTAATCTCAAGTAGGTTAGAAAAATTTTCTTTCTTACTTGCCACTTTTGCTGCTCATCTCTAAAATATAAAGATCAGAATTTTCTTTAATTTCTTATCCAAATATATGGAATCTTAACCTAACTGCATTTAATATGGAAACACATTATTTTTTAAAAAAAGGCTTGGTTTTGATAATTTTCCCTTTGTATACTTACTGAAAAGGTCGAAATGCATGCCATACTAATATACAACTCAAGGAATGACACTGAAAAATCTAGGTTAAATAAAAAAGCTAAAATTCAAAATCAAAGTAGTTTAAATCCAACTATAGGCACAACTTGCTTTGTTGTGTTTGGCTTTATGACACTCAGCAGACCGTGTGCTTTTTACAGATTAAAGGTTATGGCAAAACTGCATCAAGCAAGTACCTAGGCACCATTTTTCCAACAGCATGTGCTTACTTCATGTTTCTGTGTCACATTTTGGTAATTCTCACAATATGTCAACCTGTTTCGTAATGTTATTGTTCAACTAAACTACAGTGTAGTGTAAACATAACTTGTATATGCACTGGAAAACAAACAAACAAAAATCCTGTGACCTGCTTCATTGTGACAGTCACTTTATTTTGATGGTCTGGAATTAAACTTGAAGTATCTCCAAGGCATGCCTGTACATATTTCTCATGAGACAAAATCCAATTCTCTAGTTAACTGTTTACCAGATATCACTACCATGGCAAGAATCAGATATAAGACAAACATGTATTTTAAATGAAAATTATTCTGAAAGGGTTTCAGTGATAACTTCATTTATAAATAAACTTCACCAGTTTGTCAGGTTTGAGAAGGAAGACAGGGATTGGCAAAAATTTGGTGTGTTTTGCTTTCTTTGTTAAACATCTAAGTGGTGAACAGCATTTGAAAGTCAGAATTTGTGTAACTAAATAATCATAGATGAAAAGGATTTATTAGACAACATGACACAAACTCTGAAAAAACAAAATAGCTTGCTTGTAAATAATCATCATTTATGCTTTAAAACAGTTACATAACATCTGCTTCAAAACATATTCCAATGTATTATTTGAAAATACTATTAGCTATTAGGAGAATTTTAGACACAAATGGGACCTTAAAGTATAGCTTCTTCATTACACAAACCAGATGTTACCATCTCAGAAAATAAGACTTGTCCAAAGTCAGACAGTAACCTATGCTGTTGTTAGTTTCCAAACTTCCAGAAGTGTACACCTCTGTAATATTTAATTTAATAGAATTTGCTAGCATAAATTTTCCTAGCATAAGGCTGGTAGACTCTCAACAAACTGCTTGTATTATTATTATTTTTTTTAGTAAATTCTGAGTGATTTTTTAAAAATTGATTAAAATTAGTTTTAGACAAACTTTTGAAAGACTCCAAGGTTTTAATTTAGTTACCCTTGATTATGGGATTTGCTAAGGAGAGGCCGCGAGAACAGGCGTAGTCTTACATTTTGCAAGTTGAACTGTAGCTGTTGCTTATACGGTGCAAATTCCTGTGCCAGTTCATATCCTTCATGATAAAAAGTAAATAAGCCCTGAAGGAATGACAAAAGCTGCAAAAACAAAGAAATAAAGTAAAAACTTCGCTTTAAATACACATGAAGATATAAAGAAGATAAACCAGGATATCAGCGCTAAGAAGAAGTGCTACAGGAACCCATTAGAAAGGATGAAATTAAGAAAAGCAACATTTGGCAAGGCATAGGAAGAACTCAAAACCATGGAGCAAGTGTGAGGAAAAAGATGAAGCGAACTACCCTATATCTATCATAGGTCTTCTTTAGACAACCTCGCATTCTATAACCCTAACCCAAATTATTGTGTGCTTAATGAATTAGGTTATTTGCAAAATAATGCTGGCTTTCCAAGGAATCACAAAATGGTTTTTCTTTAAGCTATGCTTGCAATTTCATATTGCTGATGAGGAGTCTCATCTTGGATTTTCATCCGATTGTGTGTAATTTGTCTTTTCTCAAACTTTTAAAACCTAATCTTTCTCTTTGATTTTAGAAGTTTGAGTTTTGTAATGATTGAGCTTAAAGAAATGCATTGTTGAGCTCTTTCAGCTTCATGTCTTTGAAGTGCTCAGAAATTCTGTACTGGTTTTATCTAAATACTGCCTCTAATGCCTCTTTCTGGAATTAATATTAGATGGATATAGAAATGTTTGAAACCATCTTTATAGTCCTAAATTTTCCTTTTGACGACTTCTACCTTTCTAGCTGTGCCGTATCCCGAGGGATTTTCTTAGCCCACTTTCCCAGCTCACTGAATGGCTTCCATACCAACTAGTAGCTCAAAGACTGACAGTTCAGACCCACTCAGAGACACCTGGGAAAAAGGACCAGATAATCAACCATGGAACAGTTTAACTCTGCACACACATAGTCACCATTAGTCAGAATCAATTGAAGAGCAATTAACAACAACGACACCGTTTTTACCTCTATCCACACTGCTCTTCTATCCAACTGTAGAGTTTTCCTTTACTTTATCTTTGAACGACTGAATTTTTCATTTTCAAGTTCGTTGACAGGATGCTTTTCGAAACTACTGAATTAATTTCATAGATGTGCTCCATTCTTTTAACTTTACTGGTGTTAATAAATTTATTTGAATGCATTTTTATGATGTTTTATGAAGTCTTTGCTTGGGAGAGGATTCTTTACTGCCTCTAGACTTTGATTTCTTTATGTATTTGCATTTCGTTACAATCTCATCTTTTGAATATGTCCTGGACTATGATGGTCTCCTGGTTACATTACTGGCATGCAGTTACAGTGGTGGCCTTTAGGTGGCAGTGTGGCAAAGACTGAACGTTGACAGTAAATTTGTCAAATTACTCAATAAAATAGTCTGGGATTTATTTTACCAGACTATTTATTTTATTGGGTAATTAAAACTTTGGCAGGGGTGGCACCCTCTTATTGGTGGCAACTCTGATGAGGATTTTTGTTTACCTCCTAGGGTTAGGGCTGCCTTAGGGTTTCTGATTCATAAAGAGTTCCAGTTCTTGTTTTGAAGCATGGGTCATCAATTTAATAAAATCTGTTTATATCCATTCCATCATTAATATGGGCTCCCTGTCAATGAGGAGCACATAAAATATTCCCACCACCCACCAGCTGCCGTCTGGTTGATTCCTACTCATGGTGATCCCATGTGGAGGACATAAGTGTTTATATGGGATAAATTATGTCTAAAAAATAATTGATTTCCATCTTTTCATGTAATACACTGGGATTTTTTTTTTTCATAATCGTGTCCCCTCATTTGAACTCACCCACAGCTCTTTTCTATAATAAAGCTAGAAAATATATTTTGAGACTTCGCTAATGGTTTTCTAACTCAAATAGCATAATGGCTGTAACTCATTATTGTATATTAAGAAAGAAACACAATTTCAAAACATTTTTATATATAAATAACATCCTGCCATGTCCTCTGTCTGGCATGTGTTATGATTTCCTACAGATAAAACATTGGTTCTATATGAAAGCAATAAATTTCCTTGACACTGTTATTGTTAAATGCTATGGAGTTGCTTCCACCTCATATAGACTAGGGTTTCCAAAGAGTGGCTGGTGGGTTTGAACTTCCAACCCTGTAGTCAGCAATTAAGCTAGTGAAGTTTTAAAAGTTATGCTCATTTCAAAAAGGATATACTTTCAAATTGTTTTGTTTTTGTTAAGTTTCTGATGTGGTAGGGACTTTCTCTTGTTCAACAGTTCCTGATAATGCACCAAAATGCTTGATACTGTAGCAAAATGTACAGTTTGGCTACTTTAGACCATTTTACATTGCCAAATATGCATCAATTGATAATTACTATCAAACCAAAAAATTTCATTACTACAGCATCATTACTAGAATAATGCTGTAGTAATTTGCCAAATTATCCCATAAAATAGTCTGCTTGAGTTACATATTGTGGTTTAGGGTTTACATATTGTGGTGTACATTTAACTAGGGTTTAGACAGATAAATTTAGAGCTCTTCAGATATAAAATAAGAAAATACCTTCTAAGTATATAAATGATAGTTTATTGTTGTTGTTAAGTGCTGTTGAGTTGGTTCTGACTCATAGCAAGCCTGTCTAGGGTTTCCAAGGAGTGGGTGGTGGGTTTGAACTGCCAACCTTGTGTTAACAGAAAACCACCATAGAACTGCACATAGAACACTGGTGACATTTCTAACTAATGAACATTTGTAATCCTTAGACTACAGAAATTTGACGTGATATAATATTTTTTAAAAAATGAGTCAACTGATGAACATGATGGATGCTCTGATCTCCACGCCCGGCTTCGAAGTGTCCTTTCTGGCAGGCCTTCTCATCATCCATGAAGTGGATGTGGGTCCCCTAACTTGAACAATCATATAGAAATGTTTCAGTGTGCAATTTGGTATACCAACATTCTCCAAAGAGCTTCGTTTTTAAAATTCTTAATAGTGTTTTTCAGAAACTAAGATTCCGAAATTTTCATTTTATTCAGACTTTTCACTATCTTCAGCCTTTTTATACAATTTAAATAAAGATGAAAATAAATTTCATATCCTCTTCTAGAAAAATTCAGATTTGTTGGGGAGCAGGCAAATCTGTTTTAACTCTTGAACACATGCTAAACACACTGTAGGGAATGTATAATTCTTTGGAAGGTACAGAAACATTATAGCTTTTGTTCCACATCTGAAAGCAGCTTTTGAGAAAGTTAAATAAGGAGCGTACACACGAAATGGTTGCCTGTAGATGGCAGCAAAGTTCAACTTTTTAACAATTTGACAACACACACACACACACATAGTCACACATACATACACACATATATCCCTTTACACTTAACGAATTCCACAATACTGTACCAAGGTCAGAATCCCTGGATGGTGGGACACACTAGACTGTTGTTACCTGAAAGGTTGGAGGTTGAAGTCCACACAGAGGCCGATCCAAGGAAAGGCATGGTGATCTACTTTGATATACATGATCTCTGTGAGTTGAGATCAACTCTAAGGCAAATAGTACTGTTGGTATCAAAGGAACTATATACTATTAGGACAGGACAGCCTGAAAAACTTTAAGGGCTGTGCTTTATCACATGCCATTTTCTTTGTCTACTCTGCCCGAGTATGAAGGGTGTTTTCAACATGATTGCATGCAGCAGCAAATCTTAAAATAAATCTTACTTTACTTTTAAATACAACAATATGACTACAAATGATTAGATCAGCATTTTTTGTTTGTTTGTTTTGAAAAAGCAACTTTTATCATTTTTATTGTTGTTAAATGCTGTCAAGTTAGTTCTGAATTACAATGACCTTGTGTAGGGTTTCCAAGGAGCAGGCAGTAGGTTTGAACCACCAACCCGACAGTTAATAGTACAGTGCTCATCCTATAGCGCCATATTAGTTTATTATTCCTGTGTTCTAGAATCCAATTATTATTTATCATTCCAATAGCCTAGACCAAATGTAAAAATTGATAACTTCATTTATATAAGGGGCTTCCTAAAGTTTATGGTTAAATGAAATTAAAATTTAACAGATTATTTTTCTATGAACTTTTTGAGGGCCCCTTGTAGATAATATTCTAGAAGAACACATGATTTTCTTCTCTTTGCAGTCAGCAAATGCATCATATTTCTGGCTCTCCATCTATCTAATTAGGTTTGTGATCGCACACAATTTAACATTCTGTCGTTTAGCCTCCTCATCTCAAAGGACAACATTGTTATTAGCAGCCCTCTGATTGGCCCTGGATTCATGGCAACCCATGCACAATAGAATGAAAGCCTGCATGTCCTAAGCAAACCACATAATAAGATGCAGATGGGAGTACTGGGTTCCATATGACTTTCATTGATTTATTTTAGGAAGGAGATTCTTCAGACCTTTCTTCCTACTTCATCTTGGTCTGAAAGCCCAGCTGAAACTACTGAGAATCACAAAAGCCTCCACTGAGGCATGGGTGATGTATGAGAGACACTGGCAGGGAATTGAGATAGTGCCTCTCAGAGAGAAGGAGAAAATTCTACTACCAAACCACGAGTGTCCCCATACTTAGTCATTGTGGGGTTTATATGCAATTACACAGGTAAAATACGGAGCACACGGTTGTAGCTGCTCAATAAACATCAGACCCAACTACGTAACAGGTGTCTGTAGGATAAACACTAGACTGTGACCCATAGATTGCCAGTTTGAGCCCACAAGTTGCGCTGTGGGAGAAGGATGAGGTTTTTTGCTTCCTCAAAGATTTACAGCCTTATAAACCATATACAGGAGACCTGGTGTGGCGCTGTAGGTTTGCTCCAGACTGCAAAGCCGTTTGAACAGCAAAGTCGGCAGTTCAAGCTGCTCCTCGGAAACCCTATACAGGGTCACTATGGGTCGGAACCGACTCGATGGCACTTCACAGCAGCAGCAGCAAACCATATACAGGGTGCGATGAATCAGCATTGACTTGACAGCACTTAACAGTAATAACAACACAACAAGTATGCTTAAAGGACCTAAGCAAAATATATGCAAAGAACAGGTGAGTAAACAAACTATA